TTTTTTTTTATAATATAGAGGGGTTTTCATAAATGAATATGAACGCCCAAAATAATGATTCTTGCGGACGAAGTCGCTGACACAGCTTGTAGTTCAATAAAATCTGTTCCCTTATATCTATTGCTACGAAATCGTAGCTACTACGAATCTGCCTGAAACAAAGTGGATGGAAAAATGTAAACGTCACTTGTGGACACAAGACTCGATGTCAAACATTTTCCAATTTCCACCTGCTGTATGGCAACAAACGGCGAAATTAATTGTAGTAGTTAATTATCACTAATTATTAAAAACTGGAATGATCAAATCAAATAAAACACTTTTTAACTGTTTAAAACACAACTGTACAGTTAGAAATAGATAGCGATTAGGTCTCCTCTTACAGAATAAAATAATTTTGCCTTTCGTAATTCAATTTGAGAATAAAATACTTTTCTTTGTAAGTGCAAGTGTTAACTAACCACCCCTGTAGCTAGATGGTTAAACGTGTTGCCTAGCAATACGTTAAGCGTGAGAGGTCCTGCGTTTGAATCCTGGGGAAACTATAGACATGGCACAGGACAGGTCGGACAGGGAACAAAAGTCTGTCAGTCTGTGGATCGCCACACGAGGGTTATTTCAATATCAACGTCCTCACATTTTTCAACGAACGCTATAAATAGAGACTCGTTATTAGACGTTTTCATATCCACAGTATACAAAGTACCATACTAATTGGCATAACATATTGAAATAACTAGGTCTATGCTCAACTAGGCTTGAGAAAAACGTATCGATTTCGCCGGTTCAGTTAGAATGCACATTGATCAAAGAGGGCTCAGATACCCGACTTGTTACTAGAGCATGCTAGCTTTTATGAATGAAAAAGTTCATTTCATTAAAACAGATTTTTTTATGGGATATAAACATGCTTTCAGATAATGAGACATATAATTATGAAGTTAGGTGAAACAGTCATTTGTTTTGTTTTGTTTTTAGGCCTCTAAAGAAGGTTTTGAAAGAGTTACATATTTTGTTAATAGTTAAAATATCTACTTAATTTTAGTAGATGCAACATAATTTTTAAATATTAAAGTATATAGTAAGTTGAAACTTAATAATGTCTATAGTTTACACGATTAGTAAACAATTTGATAAAACACTTTTAAAGGGTTATAACCCGAAATAGATTAGTTAGATAATTACAATTTATTTTAACTACCGTTGACTTTAACAGCTGTAGTCACGGCTGCTACAAAGCAACCGAGCCCTCGGGCTGTAGGTAAAAGTTAACTAACACATATCCCGTTTAAAACCATTAAACAATTTAATACTACCCACACACATCTTTACATTATACTGTAAACAATAATCACGAACTCGAGCAAGCAAATACTTGCGTAGCTTTCAATTAAACTTCGATCGAAACAAAATAAATATTTTACTAGTTCAATTCAAATGAGACGTAGGCGGTTGTTCTAACCCTAAAATGTCTACAGATAAAACAATTTACGCAAACACCGAGTCGTATTTTTACGCCGTTGGAGCGAATAAACCCGAGCCAGTGCGAGTTAATTACAAAGTTATATCGTTCTGTGTACTAATTACAGTTGAGAATTTAATTGCGACATCGTAAGGCAGTTAAGTAAGAAATTTCGGGACCGATCGTGGCTATTACGTAATGCAAGAGCACCAAATACTGCCTGTAGTTAACGCGGGTACTACACATTTAAATAGCACTCTTTGACGGTTTAAAACTCGAAATATATTAGACGTCTCCCAGTGATCACGGCTGCAAAGCATGAGAAACGTCGGAACGTAGTTATAATTTTCAAATAAGTTTAACAAGCATTATATTATCGCGTTTAAAACCGTTAAAGTTTTTAATTTAAAAATCAGTATCAGTTCAAAATAAGGACAATTCTAATTCTATTCAAAACCTTCCTAAATTTGGTTAATCACGTTCTTGGTTTACCTTCGCTATAGCCTTTTATTTTTTCAGAGCTGGTAACAAGTCCTTTTCTATTTGTATAGTCGGATAGACAAGCATGAAGTTCACTTGATGGAAGTTAAAATCACCCCAGCCATATAATATCTAAACCAGATGCGCTGTCGATCTCTTTGACTAGGATATTCTGAAATCCATTGACTGAAACCGAAACGAGAATAAACTTGGCGGTTTCTTTCATTTGTGGACACGGTGATCTGTGATGCAATATAATAATATATATAATATACAGATTTTCAGGCAAGTCCAAAACGTTTCCAAATAATTATAATGTAATTAGGAACACTTTATACCACGGGAATGAACTCAAGGTCCGTGGATTATTAGCCATACCTTATATAACACCAACGATTCACTATTCCGCTCCCTTAGACTACTACACGGATACAATTGGGTTCGATGGGCTATATCGACTACCGGCACAAAATTATTGTTGATAGTTGGAAACAAGCGGGGTTTATGAAACATTCTATATTTAAATTTTCACTTTAACGGTTTAAAACGCGATATATTAGTTAAACTTATTTGAAAATGATTTTTAACTTCGGCCCGACGTTTCGGATGCTTTACAGCAGCCGTGGTCACGGGGAGACTAAAGATGGAGGATGTCTCTGACGTCAAAGTAAAAAATTGCTACGCTAGCGCCATCTGTTCCCTCGAAGTTGGTATTTGGCGAAACTGGCCGGGTCCTTACAGAATTGACTGGTTGAATATTATAAGCCGGGATCTGTTCCTACTCGACAAAGACAAAAATGCTTTGATGTTACACAATCACAATAATATTTCTATTACAGGATTTCAAGCCTTTAATTAAAACATAATTTAATTAAGGATTCCAGATATCGTTATGATGCAATTACCCTCCCCGGGTCAAAATTGTGTCATTAGTGATATTAGAGATGAAAGTCCGTGATAAATTTAAATTAACTTTAATTACTTTATATTGAAGGGCTTTGAGCGTTTTGAGCTTTGAGCACATTTAATAGCGCTTAATGATAATAAGTATTTTGCAAAAAATTATAAATTTCTATTACAAAGATGGGATTTGAACCCACGGTCAAGAGTTAAGTTATTAAAGAAATTATGATAAACCTCTCGCTCTTTACAATAATTACAACTTATATTTTTTTTAAAAGACTGCGTGATGTTATAAACTCCAAATTAAAAAGTACGTAGACACAGTCAAAAAAGGCAATATTTTAAAACCATTTGTCTGGAAAATGTTCTTTCTTCTTTACCTAATAATATTTCATTTAAATACACATTAAGCACTTAATAATTTACTTTCCAAGTGAAAAAGTTGAAAATTTCAAATTTCGAAAAACTCGGCCACCGCGACCGGAACCGTTGTAAAATTGAATCACAGAATTCCCGTAGCGAGTGAATAACTTAGCAAGTATGGAGAATTTAATTCAACACGATAATTAAAATACAACGAATGAAAGCAACCGAAACATGTAACAAAAAGAAGCGTATATTTTCATAATAAATTTATATTAACGAGCGTGTAAGCCTGAAAGGCTTTCCGGCTTAAAGAACCTTTAAAATTCACAGTAGAAATGTACCGCTGTAAAAATGTTCTGTAATAATGTAAGTATTGTATCAATATAGTCATTATTCATTGCTCGGTTATAATACGCCGTTTTATAAAATTACGTTGCGTGTCTCGCATTGTGTAAACAGAAATAATGCTTCAATAAACATAAGATGTTTGAGCTTTTAACACGATAATACTAAGTGAAAAGGCGTTATGTTATAATTTATGTACAGTACAGATTTGTTTGAAACACTTTACATAACATCTTCATATGGATAAGAGTATATTCTTAGTATTACATAACTGATGGGAAAATAAAAAAATGTATTGATTAAGGTTTTAGTAGCTGTCGGGGCGTCATTTCATAAATGAAAACCGAACTTGGACATTCCAGGAACTTTTAAAAAGCGTTTTTAAACATAAAATAACATATTATTTAAATGAACCATTTTCAACGGTGTAAAACGCAAAATATAGTCTACTTATTTTTAATTTATTCTAACTGTCCGATGTTTCAAATGACGTTAAACTACAGAGAATATTGCATTAATATTCTATTACACACGATAGTTATGGATATTGTATTCTTCGTATTGTGTATAATAAGAAAGAATAAAAACCGTTTAGGATTACTCTAACTATTGTATTAATTACATATTGTGTTATATTGAAAATTTTGTACGATTGTTTTTCAACAATATGTTTTTGTAAACATTAAACATCAAACATCTATTAAATAAAATAAACAATATTGCTGCTTAAAGCATCCAAAATGTCGAGTTGGAATACAAAATAAATAAATGAATAAAGGTGGTTATAAACAATTAAAACTGTTTTGTCTCTATTTAACGCGGTTTAAAATGCGATATATATTAACATACTTGAAAATTATTCTAACCACGGCCGTTTCGAATGCTTCGGAGCAGCCGTGTTCACGGAGAGACTTAAAATGTCTCCGACGTCAAAATAAAAACTGCTACGCTAGCGCCATCTGTTCCCTCAAATACCAACTTTTTTTAAAGATTTTTATCTAATGTGTTTCTTTCGCGTAAACGTAGTATTATGTTCTGAAAGTAAATTCTTATTTCCTTGTTACAGGTATCCCTTCAAAGCGGCGAGACCTAACAATTACCACTTTCTCTAAACATGACTCTGTGACCAATGAACTCACACATAAGCGAAGTGTAGACAGAAATGGATCTGCACAGGTGATATCTACAGAAAATGGCTTCTCATAGACTGCCATTACACCTTTGCAATTCAATTAAACAGTATTTACAGAACCACGCAAGAGCGAACTTTAATTACTTGAAGTTAGAGTTTAAATTAAATTGGCATGAAAAGATAATATTCGTTTGGTTGCTTGTGTTGTTATTCAGTGTCACTTCTAGTGGTAACAGTTTTGGTAGGAACTCTATGTTACGGACGAGGATAATAGGTACTAGATACGGTAAATTGCAAGGTGTAATAATACCAATGGATCAACATAAGTATTTGAAGCCGGTGGAAGCGTATTTAGGCGTGCCTTATGCGACACCACCGACAGGATCTAACAGGTAAGCAGTAAACAGCGATTCTTATTATAATATTAATAAATGCCATAATTAAGTACAATGTTAGACAGAAATAAATGTAATTACAATAAAACATTCAAATACAACAATTTAGCTTTTATGTGCACTTTAAATTATTTTAATTACGACAGTCTCCCCGTGTCCACGGTTGCTGGAAAGCATCCGAAACGTCGGGTCATAGTTAAAATAATTTTCAAATAAGTTTTACTAATATGTATCGCGCTTTAAACCGTTAAACTGTTTTATTTAATGTGTACTATTCGCGTAAACTACAGACTGTATATAATAAAGTAATTAATACAATCAGATTAAATTTAATTCGAAGAATTTGATGCCAAAAGGTTAGCATAAGTTACAACACTGATTTTCAGCAATACCCTACTGTTTGTCTGTTAGATAGGGCTCATACAAAAAATATATATTTTAATAACAGTGATTTAAGCGGAAGTAAATTTATCAAAGTATTGCAATTATTACGGTACCCGAACTAATTACGGTAAAAATAGTTTAAGATTTACGGGTGCTGATCTGTACAATAAGTTACCTGAAAGTTTAAAAAACGCCCAGTCTATAAATATCTTCAAGAAATCATTAAAGTTCCATATTTTAGAATAAGTATAAGTTAATAATAAGCATGTTTTTATTATATATCACTGTTTCGTTTAATTAAAGTCCGGTGCATGTAAACACATTTAAGTTTAAGCATTAATGTTTTCTCATTAAGTGAATATGTATATTCTTTGAGAAAATAAATTCTTTAAACCTTATTGGCGTAAATAGGGGGTGACATTTAAGGGGCCCAGCTGCAAGGTCATTATCATTTGCTTTCATAAATCCCACTGCTGGGATTCCCATCATTTTTTGTAGAAGTAGCACATACTGTTTTATAAACACAGATGACAAAGTAGAATTTATAATTTTGTTTTATGTTGTTGAAACAAAACTTTCTTTATATTTACTCGCTTCTCTTTCAATTATTTAAGTTAAAATAATATTAAAATGAAACAATTTCACCATAAAATAATGTTTAGTTTCATTCTAATGAAAACAACATTTCATAACTAAAGTCAAACAACAAAGATTCATTAGAGGTTGGAAATGTCTCGTAATTTTATTTGATATAACTTTCTGTGCATATAATTCAATGTTTTAAAACTTTGAGCTAAACGGCATTGAGGTTAATTATTCTGCGAGGACTGTTTGATGTGGAATATTTTTATTATTTAGTCGCTAGGTAAACGGATCTTTCTGAATATATGACGGTTCAATACCACACCATCAATTACCATTTGTGTGTTTTACATTCCTTTAACTATTTTGTACTGTACCGAATAAACGTTGTGATTTCATATTTACTTATTGGTTAGAGACCAATTCTATATTATTTTATCGCTAAGTTTTATCAACTTGCTTGTAGCAAAAATCTTTTTGATTTATAATATAATACCATCATGTCCAATAACATGTGAAAAATACTAAATTCTACTTTTGGCCATATCTAAGAGATGTTTTTATTCAATCAAATAATACATTTGGCACCTCTTTATTTATCTACTGAATAAGATCATAACATATGCGTTTATACGCTAAAACAAAAATATATTCTTTTAAATTCTCTTATTAGATTTGCACCAACACGTGCGCCAGCGCCGTGGGATGACGTCAAAACTGTGGACCAGATGGGTCCTGTGTGTCCCCAACGGTTGCCAGACATCGCAAACGAGAGCCTCGCCTTGGAGAGAATGCCCAAGGGTCGGCTAGAGTACTTGAGAAGGTTACTGCCTCGGCTTAAGAACCAAAGCGAAGATTGTCTCTACATGAATATTTATACGCCCGTGCAAGGTTAGTCTTTAATGGTTTGTTTTTTTAGTGACTAAGTTTAGATAGTAAATGCCGTAAAGCTTGTCACAGACACATTTTTATGGCTGTTTTGTGATCGAATTTATCTACCAACGATTAAAAGATCAATTCTTGTGTCATGCGGTTTACTTAAAGATAAAAGATATGCTTGGCAGACATACATTTTTGTGCCCTATTTATTGATCGAGTTTATCAACGATTAGATCATCGGTGGTAAATATTTGTGATTTATTTCGATATCACATTTTTTAAAGAATTAAGATCACAAGAACACTTATCGTGCTTTTCCTAGAATTGAAACCTCTGATTACTCGTTCTTATAAATAATGTTTTGCATAACTTAAATACGATACTTAACATTGATGCAATATATTTGTATGCAATATCGACACCCCAAAAGTACAAACATACAATCAAAAGTATAGTTTTACACACGTTCTCTATAATTAGGTGCCATAATAATTACCCTTAATAATTATTCGTTGCGCATAAATAAAGTTTTAATTACAATATTCGTGTGCAAAGTTTTTAATAAAATGCTTTATTTAATATGAAAAGCTGATTGTTTTGCGATAAGTTATTCACTCTTTTACGTAATTATATGCCATTAAGCGGCCATAAATTATAGAACTGAACAGCTTTAGCGCAATTCCGAGCAAATATTCGTTATATTCGAAATCCGGCGCAATTTTAAACAATCTCATGCAAGAATGCACTCGGTGCGGAATCCTAAAATTTTATTTTACCGAGTTTGATAGAGAACCTTTTAAAGTATTGGTACGTTAAAATAGTTTTATATAGGCACTACGAACAATTTAATTTCGATAGCTAAAAATAAAAGTAGAGATAATCTGTCGTTTGATCGCATCTACGATACGCTGTTGACCTATTTCGCTTGTAGCTCATGCATTCGGAACAAACTAGTGAAGTTCTCATCTCAATATCTCTTGAAGGGTATCTGATACTTGAATTATTTTTTGATACCTAATTTTAAGATAAATACTGTCTATAGTTTACGCGAGTAGTACATATTTAAATAAAACACTTTAACTTCTCGAAAAGACTCCCCCCGTGGTCCCCCCCCCCGAGGCCCCGGCTGCAGAAAAGCATCCGAAACGTCGGGCCGAAGTTAAAAATCATTTTCAAATAAGTTTAACTAATATATCGCGTTTTAAATCGTTGAAGTGTTTTATTTTAATTTTAAGATGTTAACAAAATATTTAGTAACTAACATGAATATATGACGATCTTTTTACATATTACCACATAATATTAATGGGATAAAGAGTTTTCAAGAGCTTGCACACACCTTGCTTCTCCAGTGCAGATTGTCGATCGAAACTACCGTCACTAACTTAAAAAAGTGTTTAAATTGATAAAAAATGTGCGATACGGCCGGAATTGAACCGGCATCCACAGCGTTCCGTGCTGCTGCTCTAACCAATTGAATTACAGCAACGCTCTGGACGCATAACACTGTGGATTGCTAACGACGACCACTGCGGATGTCGGTTTAAGTCTCGTCCGTGTCTTAATTTTTATCTTAATATATTTTTTAAATATTGAATATTTACTGCCATAAATAACAGCGACCTTAGGGTGAAAAAAACTACACAATATATGATACAATGTACACACGATGCCATCTCATTATCGTAAATAGGTCTTGAAATATATGTTATCGAATTTCATTAGTCAGGTTGTAACTTGATATTTCAATTGTTTTGCTTTTAACAACGATCAATCGGTTTTCAGGTCAATGAAGCAAGCGTATTGAATAACAAATGTTGTTATCACTTGTTTTATAATTGGAATGGAATTTACCAAGCTTTTATAGTACATTTAGGCAAATACATTATTTGCAAAATAAACAATGACTTTTTTTAAACATACGACTAACTTAAATCATTCCTTTTTTTAATAATAGAGGATGACAGACAAGCACGAGGTTCACTTAAGGGTAGGTGAGCCCCAGCCTTAGCGTCTAAACGAGTTGTGCTCTCGACCTATCTGGCTAAACACAGACTAAAACCACAGACTGAAACAGAAACGCGATAAAACTACACGGCTCTTTTTAATTATTAACGATTGTTCGTACCCAGACGGAGTTTCGATATACCTACGACCCATTTAATATTCGAATTTTAAGAAGATTTAAATAAAACACTTTAACGGTTTAAAACGCGATATATTAGTTGAACTTATTTGAAAATGATTTTTAACTTCGGCCCGACGTTTCGGATGCTTTGCAGCAGCCGTGGTCACGGGGTCTCCCCGCGTTTTAAACCGTTAAAGTGTTTTATTTAAATGTGTACTACTCGCGTAAACTATAGACAGTATTTTTAAGAAGATATCAACATGTGTCAGAAAAATGTGGACCCAGTGGGGGCCGAACTTACGACCCGTTGATTATTAACCGTACATTGCTACCATTATACCACCAAGTCCGTCCAATCCTGAGGAATAAATTTTATAACAATTCTTAATTCATGTCAATAGTTCTGGTTCTATAGGATGGAAGTAATAAAACTTACGAGAAGTAATGAAATTTCCGAAGGAGATCTTGGACAAACGAAAAATCTTTTTAATCACAATCTGGAACTTGCTACAGACGCGGCGAGTCGTCTTAAATAACAATAGATCCAGACTTTATTAAATTTTTTGGTGTAATCTGTGATCTATTTTTGAATAACAATGGTATTATAAATAGCGGTGGACTGATTATTATCATCGCATTAGTAAGTATTGTTGTTGACCTTTTTTGGCCTTGGAACATCCGATGTTCCAAAATTCACGGACTGAAACCGAAACACGCTTAAACGTTCATGATGTCAACATCTAGATTACCAAATGAAGACCAACATGTTTCAGAATAATTATAAATTTATTAGAAAATAGTGGACCCAATGAGAATCGAATCCACGACCCGTTGATTTATACATACATTGTTACCATTACACTAACGAGCCCATCATAACAAACGTTTCAGTCTAGTAAAATATTTTTTTAAAAGCTTTTAAGTTATCTAATTTTCACATTTGCTCTAAATAAGTGTGTGCCTAATGAGATTGAACGTTTTGATAAACATAGAGGGCGCCACGGTAGCTCTCTTATAACTTAAGCATTCGTTAGTACGTTTGTAGTTGTCATAATAAGAGACTGTGTGTCATATATTATTATTTTACGTCACATTTAATATAACTATTAGAGCCAGCTCATATATGGCCCGACAAACTCCAGAATTGTGTCAGACGTGGTCTTGACAAAACACGAAATAGTGCTTCATTTGCATGTATATGAGATACATACCGTGCACTCTGACTGAACGTCCACATAATTCATGGACTCATGAATTATTTCGACTATCTCCATAATAGGGCCGAGCTCCTTAGGCATCCTTTGATTCGTCTTATTTTTTATTTACACAGCCTTTTGGATTTACGACATTAATTTTAACTGTGTATAATACGCATAATAATAAAATAATTTCCAAAAACAAAATTAATTTCGATCGAGTTTGACGAAGTTATTTTTGTTCAGTTTTGTTAATACTTAAAATGACGACACACATTTCTTTCTCAGTTATTACTGATTCTTATTGATACTAGTGTCCGCAGCTATAACTAGTTGTTTTTTGTTTATTAAAAAATAATTTTGGCATAAACTACTCTACAGATTTTTAGATTGCAGATATATTTGAAGGCTATCAAGTAACGTTAACAAAATTTTATGTTATACCTATATCTGACAGCAACATGTTACAAAATAAAGTTAAAAAAAATCTAGTCGAAGATATAATATAAAAGTAAGAAAAAGTTACATTTAAGAAATCATTTATTTAATCCTTTGATATATTGATTAAAAAAGCGAAATCCCCCTGAGCATGGAGCTTACACACGTGTTCATTTCATTGATAAATTAAACCAATTTATAGGCAAGTAATTGATCAGACTTTTGTGCCTTGCCCGATTGAAGCAACCTGTTGTTTTCCTGGGAGTCGAACCCAGGACTTCTCTCGTTTAACGTAATGCTAGCTCATATATTTAACCATTTGGCTATATTAACAGAGGCGCTAATATAAGAAAAAGGGAACTTTAAAAATAAAAATCTTCAATGCATTAAACGGCAGACATCAAAAATTCTCGGTTTAAACTGACAATAAAATGGAAACTCATCGCACAATGCACGAGTCGCGTAGAAATAGTTCGTATCATTTTCCGAACCGCGGATCTAAGTGAATGGGAAAGTAGGTTAAATTCAAACATTTTAAGTAATAGCTACTCCAGCGTGTTTGTTTTGCTTGAAGATATTCCAAGTCGGCCAGAAGCCAGTCACTGTGACGACTGTTTGTACTTGAATTATCATTTCTGAGGTTTTCTGGTTGCCGACCAGAAAATAAACTTATTCAGACGATGTGTTATTTAAAATTCTCTCTGTATAATTCTAGTATTTTATGATAAAAATATATTCTAAGCTTTAACATGGATATTGTTTTATTAGAAAAATGAGGTTATTTAAAGAAAATATTCTTTTACCATGCTAAATTCCTTATAGCTTTTTTTTTCATTTAATTAATTTTGGGATAGAAAATTACCTGTGCCTTACAATGTTAAATAATTTAATCACGTTTTATTCCATTTCAAACCCAGCACTCATCGTTCTTATAATTATATCTGAATAGAGGCGTAAAGCAACCCGGTGAGGTGTCGATTTTTAAAATACTGTAGTTTACGCGAGTAGTACACAATGCAATACGATATTTTATTGAATAAAATTTACAGATACATCAAAGATAAATAAAAAAAGTGGTTTAAATAAAACACTTTTACGGTTTAAAACGCGATATATTAGTTTGAAATAACTTATTTGAAAATTATTTTAACTAGGGCCCGACGTTTCGGTGCTTTGCAGCACGAAGTGGTCGCGAAGAGACGGCCTCTTCGCGACGACGGCTGATTAATATATATCGCGTTTTAAACCATTCGTGTTTTATTTAAAACACTCTTTTTATTTTTTCTTTCATTGGATCTTTAAATTGTATTTAGAAAAATATCGTATTATATTTAATTAAACGATTCTACATATTAGTCGTTCTTTTGTTTGTGGACTATTCCTGTTGGTAAAATAGCATTGATAGATATCAAATAAAAACGAAAATTTCAATATCTGTATGTACGCAAAATTTAGGTTTTCGAAAATGCTGACTGCATAACCGAATTCTAGGCATCGGCTAAAGCTTTTTATTACCCGGAATTTTTGGGCGAGGAGCCATCATCGAAATAAAAACGTATTTCAAACGCTTTATTTGATCTATTGTTTTTGTAGCCGCAGGTAACAAAAAATATTCTCAAAAGTGAAAAACCTATATTGTAAGAGAAACGGGTTTATTGATTGATGTATGTGAAGTTCTTATGTTCAAGATAATGTTTGTTGGAGTTAAAACGCGATGTTTAAAGCCCCTTAGAGTATATACGCAATTGATTCTAATTTCGATTAAAAAATGTACATTATACTGTAAAATGACAGCCTCTGTAGCTAAATGGTTAAACGTGTAGACTAGTATTGTGTTTAGCGCGAGCGGTCCTGGATTAGATTCCGGGGAAATTACTCCCCTTTTCCCCTTTTTGTGGTGAAATTCGTGAACACTTAACTATAACTCAAGAAGGCTTTATATAATTATTTATTTATTATGTATGTTCTAAATTTCGTTTTTAAGTTTATACAAATTGACTCTTAATACCAAACAACACAATGACAACAATGCTTCCGGTTGGAGGAATCCGCTCTAACAAGAAAAAAGATGTAGTACAGTTAAGATGCATAAAAATTTGTTACTGAAAATTTGGTAATAAAAGGAGTGGTGGGGAGTTTGTTTCCAATTCTTCTCCCACATATCAAAATTGGAGAACTGGTATTAAATGTAAATTTAGATGTTATTTTAAATGTATTGCGTCCATACATTTACCTACGTTACATGTATAAATAATTTAAACATCATTCTACAAGGATTTTCACTATTTATAAAAGAATGAATTTATTACCTTACAAGTATAAAGAGCATTATCTTGTAAACGACTACGCTACGATGAATAATGCATGCTAAGTCGTAATTTTACAATCGCTTTATATAATCTCATACATTATTAATGAATCAATCTTAGAGTTATGATATTAGTCGCGTTTAATCTTAACATAGATATATACTAAAATTATACAGCATAGAATAAATTCGATTTCAAATCAAGATGTTATTTTATTTCATAATAAAAATCAAATAACATCTTGAGTTTCTAAGATTTGCACGTTAAATTCGTATATATTATGTATGGTACCGGACCAATTTTTATATTTTTTACTAGTAAACTTTGAGTGTTTCAAACGTAGTTAAGTTGCAGTAATTAATGTTAGCTCCTCGATTTGCTCGAATAATTAATTCTTCTAACATCTCGTGATGATGCCGTCCGCTCGTAATGGCGAAACGTCGAGAACCTCTTCTCGCTCACGTCGGCTGAACAGCCCGAAAAACAATGACATGCTAAAGCTCTGGTGTTAACTAATTTACTTGTCTTATCTAACTAATTATATCAGTTAGGAGCACAACATAAAACTTCAACTCTTAGGTTTTGAAAAGGTTTTGTAAATTAACTTGAAACTTTCAATTCTTTAGAATCGGTGATCTATAGAAGGACCTTTTTGTTACCTTAGAGTTTTTCATTACTATTTAATCAATAAATTTACAAAGATATTGTGTTTTTAGTCACTTGGAAGTGTCAATATTGCAATAAATATGTGATGTTTAATACTTGAATATAGATAAGCCGTTTAATAAAAGATCTCTGTCAAGCAGACTTTGTTAAACGAATATATAGAGCCCAACTCTAACAAAACCACACATCGACAAAACAGTCCAAAAGGCCAAAGCAAAAACTAATCTCGATGACCGTAACAAAGCTTACGTTTCAGTGGGACCGACGCTCCTGGCAAAGTATCCAGTGGTAATTTTCATTCACGGAGAATCCTTTGAGTGGAATTCTGGTAACGTATATGATGGCTCCGTACTGGCGAGCTACGCCGGCCTCGTGGTAATAACGATCAACTACAGGCTGGGTATATTAGGTATGTATATTTCTAGTCTGAAATTTATATTTGAATAGAACACTTTAAACGGTTTAAAACGTGTCATTTTTTAGTTAATCTTATTTACAGTCCCGTGACGACGGCTACTGGAAAGCATCCGAAATGTCGGACTGCAGTTGAAAGAAATTGGACGTAGTTAAAATAATTATCAAATAAATTAAACAGATATATTTCACGTTATAAACCGTTAAAGATGTATCATTTGTGTAAAATGTAGCTAGTACTTATAAAATTAAAATTTTATACGTTAGTGTGGATATCTGTTATTAAAAACAGAAGGAAAGTATACGGACTGTGTGTAATTTTTATGACTGAGGTAAATAGACTGAAAGTTCACTTGGCGGAAGATTAAATATCAAGACTTATATATAGAATAAAGTCAACAAGATGCGCTATCGATCTGTTTCTGGCTTTGGATATTCAGGAAATGATAGACTAAAATCAAACCGCAAATTTACACTCGGCTTTTCTAGGCGAGACTCGTATCCACTGCGCTGTTCTAGAGGCAGTAGCTCAATTGTGTTCTGAACAATTGAGCTACTGCGTTTAAAATAGCATTCATAAATATATTAGCTTAGAATTAAGAACATCACTAAGCCAGCAGATAATATATTTAGTGATTAATTAACTGCCCAGTATTACCTCATTAATTACACAGAGTAATTAGAACTGAACATAATCTAATTCGGAATGATACAATTAATTTTGTTCCGCAATGCGCTTTGACCTTTAGAGCGCGGTTTTATAAGATTTAAAGTTTAAACACGCTAAGTAAGAAACGCGAACACTTTCGGACTCGTTGGTGTCGTTGTCGTAGGTGGTCGTTGGTTGGTACCGTTTCAAAATGCAATGCGCAGGTGGAAAAGTGGAGTGTAAATAAGGCTTGTGGTTTGGAAATATTTTAACCCATAAATAGGGCGACAGCACGCTTTTTTGTTTTTTCTTAACGCTGATGAAGTTGAGATATTTGACTTATCGTATGGTAGGTCAAATACTTCAGCCTATAGCATCTAAACAAGATACGCTGTCGTCCCATTTTGGCTTTGGATATTCGGAAATCCACAGACTGAAACCAAACGTGATTAAACTTCACGACTTTTTTATAAGTGATCAAGAATGTGTTATACCCGGTGGGGATCGAACCAAAAATATAACCACTTAATTATCAGGCGTACATTGCTACCATTACATCAACTAGACAGTTAAAACATATTTAAAGTTATTTTGTTTGTCCGTCTTTATAGCTGCCACTATCAATATACATCGTAGAATAATAAAAGATTAAAGATAGTATTTTTTTAATGTAGATAACAAACTTTATTGTATGTCAAAGCATGTACTAGACGTATAAGTACAAAAGCGATATATTTTAAGTGATATAAAGCGGTGTCGCGTTTCGTAGTTACTTCAGGCTCTCCACTCAAAGCCCGATATACATACATGAAAATGTCGCGATAATGAATTCATTAAAATTTAAATTACGCCGACAAGTCTGCTCTAAAACTGACTCGTATTCATATGGTAGTATAGTACAATTTTGATTGATACCAACGTTACATTGGAAGCTACAAGAAATGTTTAATTAAGCAAAGTGAAACGTGACGAAGCTTGAAGAACAGTGCATAATTAGATTGCAGATTGAAGAATAATAAAACTTTTTTCTATAAAGAAATTTTCTCGGTCGAAAATTAAAAGAAATACTGGCGACAGTTTATATCTTACTAGACGATCCGGCGTATGCGCTTTGTTGCTTGCAAGATTAATTTTATTCTGTTGATACTCGGACAAATGATTGGTAATAATTAATATCGATCAAATTTATTTAAGAAAAAAAAAGGTTCTTACGAGTAAATCTTGTGAGCTGAGCTTGTGTACTGTTGCGAATTTTTTTTTAATAATTTAAAGAGGAATGATACTTTTGTACATACTTTTTTGGATATCTGGAATCGTTCTATCAGCTCACGCAACGGAAACTCTCAAAGATCAATTATTTTCCCCCTTTTTCCCCACCTTTTCCTCCATTTCTTCGTATTAGTCGCAGCGTGTTCTATATCCGTAAGCCTTTATTGACAAATGCTGTTCCTAACACAAAATTATTATTTTATTTCGAACTTCTGAGATTAGCGCATTAAAACAAACAAATAATAATAAAAAAATAATACTAGTATAGACAATAACGCTTACAAGACAAAGACGGTGTATTTCTTTATTATATTAACTACTTAATAAGTCTAACTAATTAAAAGTTAATTAACTTAAACTTAAACTCTCATTTATTTTATTTATTTAACATTAAGCGACCTTTTAAATGTGCAGCCGAGCCTCATCCATTTTAAAGAGGAAATGTTCCGATAAAATCGCCTAAGTGAAATTTTTCCTCGTGGGTAATTTATTTTGCTTCAAGACCGTTTTTATTACTCCACAGATAAACGTCGGAGATCATTTCCCAAAAGATTCTCCTTATTTCCATCAACGTATGCTTTTTGTAAGGGCGCATTATAATTGTCACAAAATCGTTTGACAGTGTTTAGGTCAAACGAGGTACTTATAGTTCAATTTAATCAAGTTAATTTTTACTTATAAATATCTGCAAATTGTTGTTTAAACCGGTCCCTTGTAAATTATATATAAAGAACCGCATTGTTATATAATATATAATAAACTATGGAACAATTGTCATAACGTCAACCAGTAACTTTTTTTCACTTATTAATATGTATTTTCTGTGGTGTGTTTTATAAATAATAAAGCAATAAAAATAAATAACTAAAACCTTTAATAATAATCTGCCTTTTACATAAAACTCTTTAACGGTTTAAAACGCGATATATTAGTTAAACTTATTTGAAAATGATTTTTAACTTCGGCCTGACGTTTCGGATGCTTTGCAGCAGCCGTACAAAGTATAACGTGTTAAAAATAATAAAGTTTTCAAACGTTATAACTTTGTAATTTCATTTTCAATGATTTCTTAAGCTGCAAAGCATAAGACGTTGAACCTTAATACGCCAGTGTTAAGGTTGAAATTACATTGCGCGATAGGTGCATGTATCAATAAGTCGAAAAAATTCGACGACGAGGTGGACTCGGTAGCTCAATTGGTAGAGCAACAGCACGGAACGCTGACGATGCCGGTTCAAGTCCTGCCCGAGTCGAAAATTTTTTCAATTTATTTTCGATTTTTAAATCTCTAAACCTTAAACTTCTCTTCTCTCAAACAATGCTTGTTGAAACGTATCCGTTTACATTTGAAACAACTTTTCCTATTTACAGGTTTTCTAAACGCAAATCCCATACCTCATGTTAAAGCGAGAGTAGCCAACTACGGACTAATGGATCAAATAGCTGCTTTACATTGGGTACAGCAAAATATCGCCCTGTTCGGGGGTGACCCTAGTAACGTCACTATGCTGGGTCATGGATCTGGTGCAGCATGTATTAACTTTCTCATGATCTCCCCGACAGTAATGCCAGGTAAGAAATTTGTAAAGGAAAATGCTCAACTCATAAGTTGTGTTGAACTTTGTTATATTCTGTATGTCTAAACAGCTATAAAAATGTATTATAATCTGTCACTATAACCTCTTAAGTTCTATTTTTTAGGTCTTTTCCACCGAGCAATTCTACTATCGGGTTCAGCGTTAAGCTCTTGGGCGTTAGTGGAAGATCCAGTGAACTATTCCGTCCAATTAGCAAAACAATCAAACTGCACTCTTCCCGAGGACATAGTCAAAGATCACGAGCTAATCGTAGATTGCTTGAGAGAAGTACCTCTTCAAGAGCTGATGTCTGCAGAGATGAGTACTCCGAGCTACTTAACAGCTTTCGGACCGTCTGTGGACGGCGTCGTCGTTAAAACGGATTATGCAAAGGAGTTACTAACATTCTTCATACCGAATGACCTGCAAGGTTTTACAAGCGTCTCCGGAGTGAATAATGCGAAGGCGGACAAACGCAGTGGAGATAGAATTTTCGGGATAAGAGGAGGGCAGAATAAATATGATCTCCTGTTTGGGGTCGTAACGAGCGAGGCACTTTGGAAATTTTCAGCTCAGGATATTCAGAATGGTTTCGAGGGCGAAAGACGAGATAGGATAGTCCGGTGAGTGTGTTTGTAAAGCGGATTGTTTGTTCGGTTTGTTAGCATGTTTCGTTGTGAATGAGAAAACATTTTCCTCCCCAGTGATTTTGTTATGTTCATATGTGTGTGATTTATATAACGTTGTTACATATTCGAAGGCTTAAGTCGTCTGGTTGAGGAGACCCAAAACTTTTGTATACGTAAATTTACGACTTTCGTGATGGAATCGTCTATATATTTCATAAATATACCAATGAAATAGTCTGTATAACTTATAAAGATATCAAAGATTGAGTATAGGTAAGAAAGCAAGGGTGACATTGAGACTTGAGAATAGAAATAAAATATATATTATATCTTTATGACAACAGCATCAGGCTAATTGTTTATCTGTAATAATGCATATATGTTGGCGAAAGCCATTTTTGAAATAAGAACTATTCTTAACTCAGGTTTTTAAACTTTTACTTTGTTGCAGGACATACGTAAGAAATGCATACACATATCACTTAAGCGAGATTTTCTTTACAATAGTTAATGAATACACGGATTGGGAAAGAACTGTGCAGGTAAATATTTAAATTAATATGGATAGCTTTGTACAACTAAATACCTTTATAAAGAAGCTCCTGAACATGGACTATTTTCCATAGAAAAAGGTTATGAAGGTACAATTACAAAATTTGTTAAATTTTTAAGAACATTTTTTGAGCTACAGTCATGAAGTAAATAATAAATACTCAGTTACCTTTAGTACTTCCGAAAATAAAAATACGGGACATCGGGTCTCGGCTCACCTTTATAAATCTTTTACAGCAGCGATCAGCTACTGTCATAATATTATGTTGACCGAAAGTTATATATCGATTCTCCATTACTTATGAACGTGATTTGAAAGCAAAGTTGTAAGATATCTCAACCTGCCGAAATTTGAGCCGATTTTATTAGGACCTTTAATAACATGTGGTGGAATGATCGATGGTGGCTTTAATACAACAATCCATGAAGAATATTTGAATAGGCTCTTTTGTTAGACTTCCTCTTACTTGCTGTGTATACTCTTACGATAAAGCTTGGCTTTTTCTTTATTATTACCTACACCTACCCACCTATTAAGCCTTTTTTATTTATTTTCTCTTGTACTTGTTGCCTGGAAGAAATCGCTGCTTAGCGATAAGGCCGCCTGTGGAATGTATTATGAATAACAAAGATGTAATAAATAAATTAATAATGTACCATATTATAATATTTTATAACTTGGGAACATTCAATAATGTTATTAGTGTTAGCATCATCCTTAATGTCACGGCATCCGAAATAATACTACAGAAGATAGAGAAGTTCAACGGACTGCGACAAATAGGAAATTGATTCCATTCAAACGACTCAGCGAATGATACAAATTTCATTCGATTACACATCTCGAAACAAAAGTCATTTGGCACGGAATGCCACGTTTAGAGAAAAACATAAGCCAAGTCATGCCATTGTAATTTAGCTGAGGGTCAATTTAAGCATTAAAAACATGAAACTGATTTATGAGTAGCATTCTTGAAATTGGGTTTTTATTTAATTGTATGCGAGCTAGTACTAACTAAATATAAGTACATATAAAGAAGATTTAGGGTTTGCTTATTATTTAAATGATTATTAAAAATTGACAATTTCATTAATAGGTATATAGAGACTAATAATAAAAAATAGTTTAATAAAAATTATAATATAGTGGTATACGAAAATAATATACGAAGATTACATTTAGGCTTGAAAATTAAATGTAGCTTTTTATAAATCTATTTTATTAATTTGTTATTAAAGAGCAAAAATTAATCGAGTAATTTTACATCATTACTACGCTTAAGCTTCTCTAAAAGACTAAAACAGACATCTTAATAGGCAAAGTTCGAAACCTGATCGTGAGATCTCATTCAGAATTCTTCAGTTCTAAATTGCTTAACAATAAAACAAACGCGTATTTTTTTGCATTTGAAATCTAGTGTGGCTGGCGGTTGATTTTTCAAACCCTAAAATCCTCTTAAAATTACATATTACATTTTAATTTTCTTTCACTAGCATCCAATCAACACACGAGACGCTGCAGTGCTAGCCCTATCTGACGCTCAGTACGTTGCGCCACTAGTTCAAACAGGTGACTTCCTCAGTGTGGCCAAAAGTTCACCTGATTCTGGGCCCAAGGCATTCTTTTACGTATTTGACTATCAAACTAAGGATGGAGATTATCCTCAGGTACGTACAATATAATAACCACATGTAAATTAGGCTATTTTATCAATGTTAAACACTAACTATATTAGTACAGTAATTGACTGCTCAAAAGCAATACAAGACCGACACAAAATTAATCATAGTCTGTGTTTAGACTTGTACAAATTAGTTTCAACAATAATAATATATTTGACGTGTATCACCCGCCGTAAGGTAAATATAGGTGCAGTAATAACGATTCCTTACCCTGAGTTACATTTGAATAGCATTTCACGATGTCGATGTATTTTCAAAAGGATTTAAGTATTATAGTTTTTTTAATGATAAAGTTAATGATAGAATAGCAGGCAAAGTGTTGTAATTTCATAAATGCTTTAAACAAATACTGTCTATAGTATACGCGAGTAGAACACATTTAAATAAAACACTTTAACGGTTTAAAACGCGATATATTAGTTAAACTTATTTGAAAATGATTTTTAACGGTCACGGGGAGACCACGGCTGCTGCAAAGCATCCGAAACGTCGGGCCGAAGTTAAAAATCATTTTCATATAAGTTTAACTAATATATCGCGTTTTAAACCGTTAAAGTGTTTTATTTAAATGCTTTAAACAAAATTTTCTTAGTAATACTGTAGTGTTTTGATAGCATAGATTTACATATTTCTCATTAAATCGTTCCGTACAGATGCACTAAACAGTTGAGCTACACTGTCTCACACATCATTGTCGAATTCATTTAAAGCATTGATACACGCTACAAACACCAGTTCAAATTTCATTATTGTCAACGTATTTTTAAAGCAATCTCAATTTGTTCATTTTTATTAAATTATGAATACTATTTTAGCGTATGGGCTCAGTTCACGGCGAAGAATTGCCGTATTTGTTTGGAGCACCGTTCGTAGACGGCTTGGGACATTTTCCCAAAAACTACACGAAGTCTGAAGTGGCATTGTCTGAGGCTTTCATCTTGTATATCGCTAACTTTGTGAGAACAGGGTAAGTGGGAGCTTGCTACCAATTTACCATATTGCTATGTACTACATTTTTTTTACAAAATCTCATTAAAATAATTATATCAATAATTTTCTAACATTCTCATAGTTTAATAAAACTGCGTGCTCTCCTCGATCGAAAAATTAATTACTTTCTTCCTTATTACCAAGAAGTTTTGTGCTGAAGGCAATGGTAGTCAATGCATTAAAATAATGCGGACGAAGAGCTACTACTTACTACTTACTAGAATATAATTGGGCTTACACTAATATTAAAAAAAATCGATTTTTAAGATTAAATTAAAATAAAATATATTACAAAAGATAAAATATATATGTACATACTTTTTGTAGTTTGTGCGAGTACTACACATAAAATAAAACACTTCAAGGGTTAAAAACGCGACATATATTAGTGATTCTTATTTTAAAATGCCGCCCTACGCCCTTACATTACGGACGCTTTGTAGCAGCCGTGGTCACGGGCCTGAGTAAGAACTGCTACGCTAGCTCCATCTTTGCCGCCGTAGTTGGTATTTGGCGAAACTGGCCGGGTGTCCATCAAAATTGACTAACTCACTTTATATAACAGTAGTTTGTCCTTTTTTAACTTTTTATTATAAAATGCGGCAAATTTTGTTTTAAAACAGAGTCAATTAATGAACGCGAGTTACAGCAGCACCTTTGAATATCTTCTATATTGCCCTACTTCCTAATTTTGTGTCCTTCAGAATCCAAATGGGTTCAGCGAAGATCATGTGGCCGTGGCTCTTTTTTGTATTGGTGTGTCCCTTTGCCAATATAAGATAAGAGCTAGGCTCCTAAAAGTAATTACTTAAGATTACATTAATTACGATCCGACGCTTCGTTTCGGGCGCTTCACTTGCTTTGACCACGGGGGACTGAAGATGATAAATGGCCCGCATGTCAATGTCATGTATAGAGACGCTAAAGCCAACTGCTTCTTTGGAATTACTTGTAGTACATCGGGGAAATAAGCTAAATGTTTTTAGGTATTTGGTTTTACGGGGTTTACAAATTTAGTTCTAAACGCTTTAGTTGGGATATCCAATTTAACAAAATACAGAGCGTTAAAAATGCAAATACGGAATATAAAACAATAAAATTCATTTAATAATCATTATTCAGAATGATCTCCTTGTCTCAGGGGTGGAATGGGTCCTTGGGTCGAAATATATAAAACAATATATTTTTAGTCGGGCAAGACACTTAAGTCTATGAGGGTTCTTGGCTGTAAATTATAGTAATGGGTAAAACAGACACAAAAATGTATCCGGGTATCCTTCACGGTCAATAAAATTATAGGTATAGATAATATTAAGGAACAGAGGTTTGTCTAACTGAGAAAATTAGTTTTATTTGTCCCTATTATTAAAAACATGGACATGTATGTACATATAAATTTATATAGCTCGCCACTTTTAGAGATAGTACAAAATGTGCAGAAGCACCATTTCAGGTTTTCAAGTCAAAATTTCACCAAGAAATAAGAAAATTACCGGAGTTATGTCTTATGTAATCTATACAAAAAACCTCCTAACTAGCTATTGAATTGGTCGATTGAACTAATATAATACTTACATACATACAATTTCAGGTTCCAGAGAGTACGTTAAAAGCTATTTTACATAGTGTTCATACAACAAATATGCAATACAAATATATAAAATGGTCTTTGTAACATATTGTGGTTGAATGCTGTGGTAAGCCAAGTTGGGGTCAGCACGCGGAACGGAATTGTGCCATATGTTATTCTTACGAGAAATCCGTTTACATGGGCTTTACAATATTTTATATATTTAATAAACTTATACACTTTATAAAACCTATATAGGTAGGTTACAAAGTGGAAAACCATTTCCCCGATATGGGATATGGGACATAAACGCAACTGTGTCCATTTCACTGATCGCTTTTATCTCTACTAAAGTTCACCAGATTTTTTGGTCCTACCTGACATCTGACGGTAACTTTTATTTAAATAAAACACTTTAAACGGTTTAAAACGCGAAGTATTAGTTAAAGAACTATTAATTTATTTTAACTACAGCGACGACTACGGATTTTAAATAGAGTAAAACTACTTTTTTTACCGTAGCAAATCTTACTGTTTAATTATTTCAAATAATCTTTGTTTATGAAATAATCTTAATTATTAATATAAACTAAGGCCTAACGTAATTTAATTTTTATTGTCCGTTGTATCAACAGGCAATCAAATTTACGTCATAAAATTTTAAATTAATTTTACACCAATGCTTTAAATCGTTAACAAATATTTTGTTAATGATTTAAAACTCGCACAATTTGCTAACCTGATTTATAAAAATCCGGTTAGACTATAGTAATAGGCATACTTACTTTGACTCATGGCGTAATGGTATAAACAAATAAAAATTAGTGCCTACGTTATGCAGACCTTGATTTTTATTTTTCAAAATAAAGTTAATAAATTTAAAATAGATTCATCTTTAATAAGATTGAAAAGCGCTTACAATTAGAAGCACTGCGCGATAATACTCAAACGCTTATACAACTTCCCTTCGCTTTACAGTGTTGCCAACAAAGGAACTCTCTTTATTGATAGCTCGTCGTGAAATATGACGTCTTTTGATACTTATTGATATTAAATTTTATAGCGCTTACTTCATCTGACCTCATAAAAGGAACGGTAAGCTCACTTAGATAGAAAAAAGTGTTGATGGGCGACGATGTAAAATTGTACTCTTATTATAAATTAAATAATCTCAAATACTGTCTATAGTTTACGTGAGTAGTACTCATTTAAATAAAACACCTTAACATCTTAAAACGTGATATATGTTAGTAGTAGTAGTACTTATTTTAACTACGGCCAGACGGTTCTGATGCTTTGCAGAAATTAAATCTCTCTATACATATAAAAGGCTTTGCCCTGATTACTCTCTGACTGTCAGATAGACAAGCTAAATTAATAGATAATAATAGATGTTTTGTATGACATACACAATACTTAACTATAATTTATTAATTTAGCACTTTTTTTTAATTCCTACCAGTAAATGTATCAAAACTACATTTTATCTATCTTATTCCTTAGAAACATGCACAACAAAATGTTCAACAATATCATATTTTTTGGGTGTTAAAAAATAACTTAAAATGGTAAATAATATTTATATTACACGCTAGACTGTATAAGATAGTACATTCTCTTACACTTTGACATTCACGTTGAACCCTTGAGAATACGTCTTGTCTTTTAAACATGCATTCGCATGGTTTCGACTTGATTTTGCTGTCAAAGGACGACAAGAACGTTTTAATAGATATACGAAGAATATTTTTTAAATAAATCCGTTTAGATATTGACCACATCCATTGTTCAATGTTCAAACTTGTTGCCTAGCAATGCTTGTGGCACACAGCGTCCTAGAGGCAATACCCGGGGAAATGAAATTATAAATAAGTTAGATAAAAATATTTCTATTAAATAATAATATAGTTCGGTCGAGCAGGGTACATACGTCTGATCAAATGCTTGCAATAAACGAGGAGGTTGACTCCTAAAATCTTAAATCTATATATCATTTACAATCTGATTGATACAATGTCATTTTTGATTGTTTTACATTGTTTTAATAAAATTTCTGGAAAATTAAAAATTTCATGACTTCAACAATTTCCATAAAGCGACGTACGATCTCAATTCGTTTTATAGGCAAGATATCAAATATCTCGAGTCAAAGTCAGGCGACCTAGAATTAAAATGAATCAAGAATTTATGTGAAACTAACTGGCTTCGCAGACCACATGTAACCTCAATCTCGGCTTGCCGCAGCATTCCACAGACTATAATTTATACTGACCAGTTTTACACAACTGTTGCATAGATAAAATGCCTCATATATTCTTGGAGACAAAATTGCTGTGTACGCTATTTGACAGACCGATATTTCTTCCATGTACGGAATGGTGCGAGCTTTTGCCAATTCTGAAATTTCCTTCAAGATATTATTAAATCGTTTTTGTTCCATTTATTTTTGTAAATACTAGTTCGTCAGTTTTTCATGTTTCGAATAAGTAGTTTTTAAAACGAATGAGAAGCCTAGAGTTATAATTTCCTATGAACACTAACATTAGTGGAGGCATTATTTAAGCACTTAACAAGCCTTTGTATATATAGATTCTAATAATACCTAACGCATATTATATATTAATTACATACTGTCTGTAGTTTACGCGACATAAAACAAACTGAGATAAGAACTTTAACGGTTTAAAACGCAATATATATTAGTTAAACTTATTTGAAAATTATTGTAACTACGGCTCGATATTTCGGGAGACCATGGCTATTTAATACATATTGTTTTTTACCATAAATTAATAATATTAACGTATTCTTTTATTTTAACTATAAATAAATACACATTTTTAATCACTAACAGTGGAACATGTTCGATTCTAATTGTCGTTTGTAAAAGGAGCAAAGCCTTTTTTTTGCTTCCTATAGCGTTCAGGACTTGAACTAAGCTTTTATTTTCCTTTTCCTAGGAATCCTAATGAACTTCAGAGACAGGAGTCGGTGCTGCCGATATCTCGGGAACGAAATAAATACAAGAGTATCGTTTGGGACGAATACGATACTTTACATCAGAAGTATTTAGAGATCGGTAAGTGTATTTAAGAACGTTCAAGTCAGCTGGAATCAATTTTGTGCAGAACTTTAAGTAATTAGACCTCCATAGGTTAACAATTTAAAATGTATTAATAATTTTTATTAATGTATTAAATATTTTGTTTAATTAAAATAAAAAATTTTATTTGAATCGCATTATTTATTGTATCATACTAAAAGCATTTTTTTTATTATTGCGAGATTTAACGAACTCCTAGTTATATGTATATTACTAATGAGTCAGATTTCATCTTAAGTTCAAGTTCAAAAAAGTATTGATAGCAAAAGTGAGTTCAAGCTGATCTTGTTTAATGTTAAGTTCGCAGTTTCTGTGCCCATAAATCAAAACGTAAATAATGACATTTGTAAACTATTTATTATTAAAATCAATATCAAATTCTAAACCATTTAACTTTTAATAAATAAGACTTTTTAGCATTCGTGAATCTTCTCTGTACTAAAATGTCAATTGCAGGCATGAAACCACGCATGAAAAACCACTACCGTGCTCACCAGTTGTCCGTCTGGCTGCGGTTAATCCCGGAAATCCACCGAGCGGGCATGAAGGACGTCGTCGCGAGACACAACCTGTTCCGCAACCACAACGACCCAGAAATGTACGACGGATTAGTGCGAGCCGACCCACTCACCCGTGCCAACTATTACGACCCTACTCTCGAGCTGTATCGGAGGTCCTATAACGTTACCCTCGATATACCGACTACCACTATGGATACCTACGTCACGACTTGTATCAGCGTGATGTCCGCTCGGCCCGGAGCTCCCGTCACTCAAAGTCAACCCAACAATTCCCAGATTCAAGACGTTTCCAATTTGGAAGTGGCCAGCTACACTGCATACTCGACAGCCCTCAGCGTCACCATCGCAATTGGATGTTCCCTATTAATCTTGAACGTTCTGATTTTTGCTGGCGTCTACTATCAGCGTGATAAGACCAGATTGCAAGTCAAAGCTCTGCAGCAGCAGAAACGCAACCACAACTCGACGTATGACACTTCAAAGCATCCGCACTACTTTGTCGGCCATTCGCAAAGTTCAAGCACGATCGTGGATATAGACCATCAAGATAAGAACGCGATTATAGCTATGACGAATCGGGTGCCCCACTTCCCGAACACGAACTGCCCGAACGTCTGTCACACGGGGATTCAAATGTCGAATTTACAAAAGACCAGCCCGACGAATCGGGGTCAATGTACAACGTTGCCGAGGAAAGTGGGGTTCAGCTACCAGAATCAGATATGCAACGCGTCGAGTTGCATGACTCTGCCAAAGAACGCCACGTTTATGAGTAGTGGAAACTTACCCGACGTTCAAGCGCAAACGGGACAATCCCAAACACCGGGGAACGGGTCCATCCAGCCGTCGTCTCCGCAGCATTTCTCGCAAAAGTCGAGAGTACCTCAAGCGGCGATATCCGAAATGAACGTATGAGAAATGGAAGATATTTACAATTATGTGTAAAAGTGAATTAGCAAGGTACGATCACTCCTATGCATAGTTGTAAATATCGCTATTCGTATGTAAATAACTTACATCAATTTTAATGTCTATAGATTAGGCGACGTCGTTTAACTGTAAATACATTCCATTATGAATGGATTCACGTTATTATTATTTGTCCGCGATTTTAATTCTGACCTCACTAATGGAGACTCCAAACATCTTAGTTAATTGTCATTTAAAATGGCGTCACTGTAAATAAATTAGAACATTAAAGACTGTAATATTGTAAAATTAATGTATAGTACATATTCGTGTACAATGAATCTTGTCTTAATTTCGAGGAAGGCTCAAATTTATTTACTTCAATGCCAAATTAAGTGTATGAAGTAGGATTTATGACTGTATATTCATAATTTTAACGTTTCCCGACCGGTGTTAACGTATACTGAATGTAATTGTGTCTTCTTATTTGTGTTTAATGCTTATAAATGTAACTTTTGTGTACCCACTTATTTGGATTTAGGTGCTACACACTTAAGGAGTTTTGGTGTGTCAGACGTACATTTCTCTCAATTACAACAATTTGTGTGAATCCTTTATAACGAGCGACTTAATTCATTTCGAGGTTTGTGTTTTCATTTAGAGGAGATGTAACATTTGAAATTTTGCATAATATTTTAAAGCTAAACAGAAATTTTCTCTTACTTTCTGAATATAATAATAAATAACAGTTATAAAATCTTATGAGAAGTATTAAGTAAAACTAAGACATAATAAAGTTCGTGATAAATAAATTGTATTTTATTTACCTACCCATACCTACTCACTAAACATATTTTTCTGCTATTCTAGTTAGTTATTATTCAGCCTTTTTTTTCTTGAAATTATTGATATTATCAACACCATAATTATTTTAATTTGCTAAAAGCTTGCTTTTTAAGCTCTCAATTTGATTGAAAGTTTCAACTTTAAATATTGGGCTCTAACTTCTATTAAACCTAAAGGAAAATAAATATTTTCCCCAATTAAATACAATTTTTTTAATAAAACCCGAAATATATTTTACTATGACTGGGCGTTAAGGACGCTGTTTCTGTTATTTTTGTAATCACTGCTTTTAACGTTGACATTTTTCGCTCATATTAATTCGTTGTTCTAATTAATTTTATGCGTATTAATTGTGTCAAAATCAGGCGATATCACTCATAAATGAATAGACACCCTCAATATGAACTAATAGCGTGATATTCATAATTATCTAATTAGCTGTAACATGCAAATCCCTTGGTTCTAATGATGATCCAGTCCATCATTGTTCGAACCGATTAACATGTTACCGTGGATAATGCTGTTTAGGGTAAAATATAATTATCTGTTTTGTTGGGAGTCACGGATATATAGGAAATATTTTATTCTGTAAAGTGGGTAATCTCGTATTTCGGATGCTAGATTGCTTCATACAGGAAAGGTACTGGAGTCTAATCATGAAAACATATAAATTACATAAACGGACAAATAAACAAAAAAAAAGTAAAAGCGTTTGTTCAATATCCCACGTCGAATATAAAAAATTATTCGATTTTTACACTTACTTTTACGGTTTTGACTAAATAAAAAATATTATGTACCTAACACGTGCTAATTCCAACGGAATAAAACGCGATTTTATTTCGTTAGGTTTTACTTTAACGCGGTTTAACGCGGTCAGTGTGTATGAAGAAAACAAACAAATTACTTGTATTTTTCGCATCTAACGGTTAAAATATATTAAAACCATTCACATAAATAAGTCAGGAGTGTCAATTATGGGCGAGGACGTTTCTATCTGGAGCGGAGGTATAATAAAAGGACATAATGCAAGGAACGTTAGATAAGTTTCAAAGGCTTAAAAAAAAGCTTAAAGCACTTAAACGTAAAAGGACGAGGTCAGTTCTTTTGGAGCGCTTGAGTTTTTTTATTTGTTTCCACTTAATCCACGCCATTTCTCATTTTCTTTGCCAATAGCTGTCATCGTTGAAAATGGATTACCTTTATTTTTTGCGTTTCTAACATACTGACGTATTCTTAGTAGTTTCAGTTACAATGTCTAAATAAATACGATCGGAACAACAGAATAATAAAATTACAATATTTAATCTTAACTTTAGAGTTAATGATTATTTGAAAATTAGCCATATAAATATTTTTAATAAAGATCATTCAATCAATTTATTAACGCTATTTTTCAAATGTTTAATGCCACAAAAAGGCCCTGTAACGACGCGTGACGTCATATGTGGTCATAGTCGCAGTTGTCGAGAAATACGTGCCCTAAATGATTGCAGGCATTCGTAACGTCATTACATGACTGGTAAAATATGATGTCATTCGTGGGACAACCAACAAACAAAATACAGTTTTAAACTGCTTCAAATGGTAGAAATAAAAAAAAAAAAAAAAAAAAAAAAAAAAAAAAATATATATATATATATATATATATATATATCTTTAATCAATATAGGTGTCCATAAAACATTATTTAAAACACATTTTTGCCCATATAAGTATTTTCAACTCGACGCTTCGGATGCCATTGTTATGGCTGTACATTTATCAAAACACTTATACAGTCTTGCATGTCTGTAGTTTATTCGACACATTCAAATTCAACACTTTTAATGGTTCAAAACACGAAATATATTAGTTAATTATTTTAATGTAATTTAAGTTTATTATTTTAATTAAAGTCCGCCGTTACTATCCATTTTTCTTTTATATTTTAAAAGCGTATATTCCCAATGCACAGTCTAACATCGATTTTGTGCTTCATGTCTTTTTTTATTGCAATGCAAGTAAAGCTTGGCGTAAAAGGAAATTTAATGATGCATTTTAAAGATTATTTACTAGTGTAAAGATATATACAGCTACTATATATATCATTGGTTTTGTATTTATGAGAAACTAAAGAGCCTTTTGTTTTGAGCTTCGTACAAAATTGTTCAACTATTCTCAGATAGTTTAGCAAAATTCATAACTTGCATATTGTTCAAAATTTACGAAATGGAAGTTTAGCTATTGGCAACTCGGGCCATTAAAATTTATCGAAGGCTTTAGGTTCAAACGTGATCGCCGTCGGCCTTATATAGACCGAAGGTCACGCGTTCAATTTCCGCTCAAAGGAAATTATTATTGAAAATAATTTATAGATAGATAAAGCCGTTTATTTTTAAGAATTACTGTATACCAATGGTGGTGTATATATTGAGGTGAGAAGATTGTATCGTAGACAACAAATATTTTAGCTTTCTTTAAGAATGTATAGAAGAAGAGGTACAATCTAATAACATTACTTTACATGAAATAATAAAGAACCATTATAAGTGTTACGTATTTGTAACACAGCTAAATCCTTTTTATAAATGAGCAATCCTTTAGTAATTGTTGTTATGTGCATTATTAAATATTAATCGCTTACTTATAATATTATGTAATCCACTACAAGACGAATTTGTACACAGTTTAGATCGACACTGCATTTTGTTGAGATGATATATGGTTTAAGGTATTCTACCTTCCATCTAGGACAGGTTGAAATAAATAATGGGATAATTTTATTTTATGCATATAATAGGTATAATAGAATTTTTAAAAGTATAGTTGTAAAGTGTAGTCTCCCCGTGACCACGGCTGCTGCAAAGCATGCAAAACGTCGGGCCGTAGTTAAAAATAATTTTCATACAAGTTTAACTAAAATATATCGCGTTATAACGGTAAAAATGTTTTATTTAGAAGATTTTTTTTTATAAATTATACTTTTTCCTTTCTTAAATGATACTTATTATTTGTAATGATTTAAATATGTTCTAAATTTTTTATACATATTATGAAAAATATAGATATTGAATTTGTGATTATGTTATAACATGTTCAAACTGGAAAAGGTACTAAACGTAAAGGTAGATAAGATATTAAAAGATCTAAGAGTCAAAACTCACTTATAAATTGAAGTAAGAGCGTTAGCAACGATGTTTAATTTCCTCCAACTTACACAAGTCATATGAAGTCACTATCGCTTTACTTTTCCGCTTAAAATTGAAAACTTAGTAATGGAGAGGTACAATTCATTAAAGTTAATGAAGTTTTTGCTGGATATATCTGAGCGTTCAGTGCTGACCCGAATCGCAAGCCCTCAGGCAGGCTAAAGGGTACTCAGAGATGCTTCGCATGCAAGTTCATTAGGGGTGGTGCAACGGTAAGTATTTCATTATATCTATCTTAACACAAGGTTATTTTTAATGTATAAAATTATAATTTAGCGAGTAAAGGTTAAAAGGTTGTATCAAGGCGGTAAATAACCGTTTAGAAATAAATAATTTCATACGTCTCTATGTTGCAGAAGAAGTAATATTTACATTATTGATTAACACTATAATGTCTTATTGCTAACAAGAAATCTCTTGTAGGCAAAATAAATTAACCTGTGGTTATTAATTGTGTATTAACAAGTGTATGAACACTTGATACTAGTATGAAACAAAAATAAATGGAATAAAATTCGCTATATAATATATTTTGGCGATATAAGGAGCACAGAAGCATTTTTAAAGGCAAAACGTTTATTTAAAAAATTATAATAAAGCCATTTCAACAGTTTAAAACATAAGTATATCTACATTAATTTTAAGCAATGACCCAGACATTTCGTTTATATTATTTATTCTAATAAAACTTATATCAAGTGGCAGCCCTAGTTACATCTAGATTTATAGACTCTACTTGTGTAACTAAAACGATATTGAGGTTGTTTTGTAATTTTATTGAAATGGTCCTACATTCTGCAGTAGTGTGATGTATAGAATGTTCTTTGACAAGTTATTATCATCATCTATTCTCACTCAGAACAACTGACTCAACCTCAAACACCTTAAAGCAGATGGAGTCGAGGATCTCAGATTTCAGACACACAAATTAAAGCCTGACATGATTACTAATATTAGTAAACTATAACA